GTTTTGTAGTTTGTTTGTCTTTATTAATAACCAGTCACCTCGTCCCAGAGAAAATTCTTTTTAGGAAGGATCTTCAAAGAAGTGTAGCTACTTCTACAGTTTACGTTAGACTGAATGGAATACTCAGCTTAGGTCACTGGCCACAGGTGTGAGTCATCCTTCAGGCATCATATTGTTTGTGTTTCTTTTGCTGTTAAACATAGTAGCAGTCAGTGGACAGACATCAAGAAAGTACTTCAACCATTGGATTTATTTACAAATATCAAGGTATTCAGCATCTCAGTGATACCTGAAGAAGTTGCTAGCATTTCTTTTCTGTGAGGTAAAGGGCGAGTGGTTGTTTCTGTGCTACTGAAACACTTGAAAATTCCTGTAGAAGCTGGTGGAGGGATTGGTGGATTTGGGACTAACTCCTGTGAACTAAGGAATAAGGAAGATAGTGTTACCTTTTCTGGTTCTTTTGGCATCCTGTTGCCATGCTTACTGTTATTTTTTAAAGAATTTATTTTTTAGAGCAGTTTTAGTTTCACAACAAAATTGAGAGGAAGGTACAAAGATTTCCCTTATATAATACTTCCTGCTCCCATACATACATAGCCTCCCCCATCATCAATATCATTTAACAGAATGGTAAATTTGTTACCAAGGATAAACCTACAATGATATCATCACCCAAACCCGTAGTTTACCTTAGGTTTCACTTTTGGTGTTGTACATTCTGTGCATTTTGACAAATGTATAGTGACATATAGCCAGCATCATAATGTTACACAGAGTATTTTCACTGTCCTAAGAATCCTCTGTGCTCTACCTACCCTCTTCCATCCCTGGCAACATTTGGTGAATGTAAATTGGTATTCCACCCCTACCCCTGCCCATTTCCTTTTACTCTCAAATAAATCAAAGCACAGTAAGATTTCAATCAGTACGCAGAGTGCCTACTTTGCCTTAGATATGAACTTGGAGATTTCTTAATAAATATCCCAAAGTGAATTTAGCTTTTCGTATAATACATGAATTAAAGCAGTTGGATCATTATCTTTGTTTTTTATAAATTGTTGCAAATAAATCGGACTAAACCACAACTTTATCTCACTAGCACCAGAGAGAGTTTTACAGTTTTTAGATTCTACTGCATGCCACTCTACTGGCTGAAATCATTTGCACACTGTTTTTACTCTCATTACACTTATTTGATCCTCATGACAGTCTGTCATGGTATTATTCTGATTTTACAGAAGAGGAAGTTGAGATTGGCTTATCCAAGGCTCTGGAAGCTTCTAAGTTGGGGATCGAACTTTTAACTTTGTATTATTTACACTGTATAATGAAGATGTTAAACTCTTTGGGAATTTTTTTCATAAATGTCAGCAAGAACCATTTTAGAGAAGCAAATTTCCCAACAGTAAGTAAAAATTATCATTTCTACCAGGCTATCATTAAAATACTTTTGGTCCCTTGTGTTGGATAGTAGACTTATTTATAAGCCTGAATAAGATTATGCTCCTCCTTATGTTGCTCCCCAAGTACAAATAAAGATTTTGAATTTTTGTAGATATGAGAAGAATCTTATACTTTGTACCAAAAGAAACTATGATAGAATTGATTATTATATCTTGGCCTGAGGAAAGTCTTTCCAAATATGATGCAAAATGCAGAAACCATAAAAAAAGTTTGATTAATATAACTACATAAAAATAACCGCTATAAGCAGTCAAGACAAATGATAAACTAGGAAAAGTATTGCTATTCAAGTGACATAAGGCTAATTTTCCTTATATAGAGAGAGCTTTAACAAATCAAGAAGAAAAAATTAACTCAGTGAGAGTAAGGAAAATTCATGTACATTTCATGTCAAAGAAAATGTAAATTACTCAAACATGAAAAGTATTCAATTTTACTCATAAAATAACTATAATATACATAAAATTTCTCCTATTACATTGGCAAAGCTAAAAAGTTTCAATACTCATTGTGTTGGAAAAGGTGTGAGGAAGTGACACTTTGATTCATTGCTGGTGGGACTATAAATCAGTCCAGGCTTCATGAAGGAAGAAGGGCCATTTGGTATTGTCTGCCAGAATTACACAAGAACATGGTCTTTTACCCCAGCAATTCTATCTAGGGATACACTTACAGGCATGCAAAATGATACATATGCAAGGTCATTCCTTATAGCATTGTTTTAATAGTCTCTGGAGCTTTAAACTCACCTTGATATCTGTATTTTGGTCTTCCTCTTTATTCTTAGTATTAATTTGTCTTCTCTCTTTTTTTTCCCTTGACCAGTTTTACCAGAGGTTGGTTTATTGGTTATTCCATAATACCATGTAAAAAATAGAATTAGCCACGTTGTTAGTTTTAATCAGCAGAAATCTCTGGCAAATTTAAACAGAAAAGGAATTTACTGAGAAACAGTATTTGATAAACCAGAATAAACAGCCAGGTAGCTAGAAAACTTGACTTGGAAAATAGCTAGGATTTAAGAGCAAAGTCTGTATAATATGAATTCTTTGAAATTTTTTGAAACTTCTTTGTGACCTAGTGTATTTTTAATTGTTCCTTGTTTGCTTTAAGGAATATATATATATATATACATATATATATACATATATATATATATGTATATATATATATATTCTGTTCATTGGGAGCATACATATATATAAATATATATGATCAGGTTTGTTAATTTTATTGTTCAATTCTATATTTTTACTAACTTGGTCTGCCTGATCTAATTATGGTATGTTAAATTTTCTCACCATTATTTTGGATTTATTTCTCCTTATATTAGTTTTTGATGTGATGTATGTTCATATAAGTTCATGATTATTATATCTTCTTAATGGGGTGCATTTTTAATGATTATGTAATTTCTCTCTATTCTTATTAATGCTTTTCTTTTCGTTTTGCTATGTACTGAGTTCTGTGGCCTTGAACAAGTCATTAACCTTTCATTTTCCTTATTGTAAAATGTGTATAATGCCTACTTTATAAAGTTCCTGTGGCGTTTCACTGAGAAAATATATATGAAGTATCTTACACGTAATAGGTTCAATACAAATGGATTGAAAGTATTTTTTTGCCTTAAGAGTTTTGCTTTTCCTTCCCTCCTTCTCTTTTTAAAGCATCTAATTTGAAATACTGTTTGCCTATAGTTGGAAATGTGCCTAAAGGATATGATTAAAATAGTCATCAGGACTTATTTTTTTTAGTGGGTGAAGGTGATGGAATGTTTTATCTCCCAAACCCGGGGTCTAACAATTGTCTTGTACTTGGTGGACCTTTAAGCCTCTGTTTTCTACATCTGCATTAGGTGCAGTGTTTCTAAGCATCTCCCACATTTCTCAGGTGTACTAAATGAGAGTCTTTCTAAAGTAGCTGAGGCAAGCTTACAAAGGACAGAAGTCAACTTTTTGAGGAGCCTACTTTTCTACAACAAATATTTATCAACCTCAATGGGATGTAGAGTTATTAGTAAGTCAAAATCAATACCATTTCAATCACTAAATATACATAGGAGTATATAGAGAAGTGTCGTGTACATTTAAGGAGGTAGAAGTATGTGTACTTTCCCCTCTTTTTGATAGTATTTAGAACTTAACCTTTTATTTCTGTTTTTAACTTGGATTGTTATCATTTGTTTATATAACCAACATGTCTTGTTTGCCTTCTGTGGGCCGGGATATCTTGGATTTAAAAATATATATAGAGAAGGGGAAAACACAGAATTTCAGCTGAGAAAACAGCAATAAAAGGTATAAAATATGATATAAATATATTGTAACTAGATATCAAGGGTTGAGAGATACCGTGCCTTAGAAAGGTAAAGTTAGGCTCAGTCTCTGGAGAACCTTGAATGACATGTTGACGAGCTTTGACATTCTTCTGTAGGCAGATCAAAACCACTGAAGACTTTGAGGATAAAAAGATAAGGTTATATACTGAAAATATTTACGGGTTGTGTACAGGAACATACTCTGATGGCAATGTTGGAAAGGAAATAAAAAAATACAGTACTATGAATAAAACTTCAGCTCATTTATAATGTTACTTGGTAACATTGAACTAAGAGCTTTAAATATAGTTTTTCCTTGAGGTCATTTAATATGTTACTTTACCAGTGAGGCCCTTCCAAACCACTCTATATAAAATAATCTTTCTTTCATCCTACATTTAATTTCCTCCATAGCACTTAGTACCACCAGTTGTATTATATACACGCATTTATTTGTTTATTGTCTGTTTCCCTTTACATGATGGTAAACTCCACGAGAGCAAGGACTTTATTTGTTCAGTGTGTCTTGCCAGTGCTTAGAACTGTGCCTGGTTTACACCTTTTAACACATATTTGTTAAAAAATGAATACATTTTCAAATTAAGATGACCACAATTTTGTTTTTTAAAAAATTGGGGAATTGGGGGAGGGGAACAGTGTTGGAGAATTGGGGAGGGGGACCAGCCAAGTTGTTTTTCAATCTTAGTAGTGGAGAGCGCCAGTTGCCATCTGGCTGCCCGTGGGCAGCTTGTGGCCTCTAAGCTCAAGATGCCGTGTTCAATCTTAGCCGCGTGTGGGCATAGCCACCATTCCTAGCGGGAGTCGAACCCGGCAGCCTTGTTGTTAAAAGCTTATGCTCTATCCACTGAACCATCCGGACAGCAGCAGCTCAGCTCAAGGTACCAAATTCACTCTTAGTTGCGGGCGGGCGTAGCCCACCATCGAACAGGCAGTCTTGTTGTTAGGAGCACGTGCTCTCACCAACTGAACCCATCCCGCCACCCGCTGGCATCTCAGCAGCAGCTCAGCTTGGGGTGCAGCTCACTGGCCCATGTGGGAATCAAACCGGCAGCCCTGTTCAGAGCTTGCGCTCTTAAGCTAACTCTTAACCAAGTGAGCCACTCGGCCGGCCCAATTTTTAATGTAGTTTATAATGTGCAGACAGCAATAGTACAAAGTGTTGGTTCCTTCCTAGAAAGTCCTATTAAAAAGTGTCTTCTTTTCCCTTTCTTCCAGAGTTTATATTCAGAACACCAATCAAATTAAGCAAGCCTGGGGAGCTTCGTGAGGAATATGAAAGTCTGAGAAAGGTATAGTATACATATTATCATGCCATTCCCTTTCTTAAAGTACACTGAAATAATGACATTAAAGAAAGTTTTGATTACTTTGGGAGTGTTGATTTACCTAGGGGTTTTTAAAATTTACAAAGCAGAGCCTGTCTTTCTCTACCCCACCTTCTACCGGCAGTTAGACTCTGTAGCTATAATGGAAGTGGGGTAAACCTTAACTAAGAACCTCTTTTAATCTGCCCGTTCAAGGGTGAAAATTTAGCTCATAGTGCCTATCACACTTTTGCTGCAATAACTGGCCACTAAAAATGGTATTCTTGGCATTTAGATGTTAGTTCAAAGCTAGCATTTAAGCTTTAATAATAATAGCTTATATTATTTTTCCTTATCTTGCAAGGTTCTTCTGATTACACGTAACTGGTATTATCTTTTATTGCTTTCATTCTGTTAGTCCAGAAGAACTGTAACTTAGACCAGTAAGGGGGTAGTGGAATAATTTCCTAGAGAATGTTTACTGTTGGGAAAGCTTTTAGCTGTGTCCACATTACCTTCTTCTTGATGTTTTCAAGCTATTGTCTGGGAATCACTTAGAGAATTAAGACTTCAAAAAGGCTGGTAATAAGTATGTTACAAGATTTGTATCATCCTTCCCCAGCCCTCTTCGTGTAGCACCATCCCTTACCCACCTTCATAAATGAATAATCATTCTACATGTGGATATTTAATATTTTATAAAGGTAAGTAATCCACTTAATCTGAATCAGACATCTTCATAAAACAGAGGTGAAGCAATAACATTGTAGCATTTTATACTGAATGGAAAAAAATCAGTATTAACAAGGTCATGTTAATGAGAAAAGATAATAGAAAACAGTGCTTAATTACTATACATTCTTTTACCCTTTTTAAATGAGAGTGTCAAATGCTGACTTAGGTCCTCATGGTCCTTTTATATTGGTATTGTGAGATTTTTGTTTGTTCGTTTTTCGAAAAATCATTTACAAAGCTTTTTTTCTACATCGTAAGAAATTATTCCCAGGGACCACATCAAAGAACCACAGATTCCTCTGAAATAAAATTCCAGAATATGCTGATAACTTAATTCTGAGATATCTTTTCAGAATTTAGAGAATATGGAAATTTTAAAGCTGTCAGCTTGAAGATAAAGAGAAAACAAGGACTTGGAAGTAGAAAAAGGAGGCAAAGCAGAAGGCATAATAAGAGTAGAGGTTTTTATAAGCCTTGTGAAAGAGAAGAAACGTTAGGGAACTGTACTTTTGTTCCTCTTAGGAAGTTAGATTCCTAGAAGTAAAAGTCCAGGGTCAAATGGTACATACACTTTGTATGTTGGTGGATATCAACAAATTCCCTTTTAAAAAGACTTTTTCAATTTNTCTTAACCAACGCACCACTCGGCCGGACTGGCTTTATAATTTATGTACTAGACATGTATATAGTGCCTACTAAATGTAAGGCGTTGAACTAGGTGTTTAAAAAAGATGGACTTGAGGAAAGCAAGAATGTATAAAAAGGAGGAACATGGAAGGAAAAATGATCTTTCACACTAAATAAGTGCTTCAGTCTATTTTAGAAGAATAGGTTAAAATAAGTGTTAGACAATTGTGATGGAGATACGAAAGCAAAGAACAGTGTTTGCTGATTATTCACACTGATGAAGATGATGCGAGGCTGTCCAATTTCAACATCTCACTATTTTTGCTTTCCAGAGGAAATGGATAGTGTTACTGTGAAGACAGTTGTATGCTGAAGCTGAACAGGCTTATCCTTGATTGAAACCTTCAGGAAGACTGTATCAGCTGTTTTGATTTTAAAGATCCTTAGTTCTTAGGCTAAAGATTCTGTTTATCATATTATACCCATTCATTGAACTCTTTTGTGCCCACACTATAAACTAACCCTGGGGTACCTTGGAGGTCTTTCTTGGTGACTTTATGAAGAGTAGTTTTGGTAGCGTGGTGGGGAAAAAAGGCCCTAATAGAATGGGTTGAAGTGAGAAAGCAGAAACAGTGAATATATAGACTATTCTTTGAAGGAGTTTGCTGTAAAGGAAGCAGGGGGCAGAGAAATGGGTCAGGACCTGCTGGGGGACAGAAGCTCAGGAGTCCTTTTAAAGCTAGGTGATAAGTCATGTTTGTATGTTAGATTTGTATATTATCATAGTAGAGAGGGAGAAATTGATGGTGCTGGAGAGAGTGGAGAAAATGGAATGAGCTAAGTTCATGAAGAGGCGAGAGAAGATGAGATCTGGAACACCAGATAGATAATACATATATTGGGGCACTTCTCCCATTCTGGTGACTATTCATTGCTCNCTCATATGTGGGATCCGAACCGGGGCCCTCTGGCGTCCCAAGCCAGCTCTTAACCAATGCGCCACTCGGCCGGCCTATTATCATTATTTTTAATATTTTGCTAATGTGCTGCATAAAATGCTATCTCTTTTTTTTTTTCAGGTTTTAAGTATTTATTTATAAAGTTCTTTATAGTACAATTGCTTTTAAAATATAGCAGTAAAGGGTCATTTACTATTTATTTTTTTAAAAGATTTTATTGGGGAATTGGGGGAGGGGAACAGTGTTGTGGAATCAGGGAAGGGGAACAGACAAGTTGCTTGTCCTTTTGTTCTTCAGTCTAGTTGTGGAGGACATTGCCTCACTGGCCCATGTTGGTATTATCATTGTGCTCTTCCTGGGTGAGGCAGATTGGTCGCTGGCCACTGAGCGGCCACTCACGGTGGCTCTTGGCAGCTCACGCAGGCTGCCGGCCGCTCACGGTAGCCCACTGCAGCCCACGTTCTCGCTGGCCACTCACGGCAGCCCAGCTCCAGGTTGAGCTGTTGTTCACCATCTTAACTGTAGAGGGCGCAGTGTCACTGGCCCTCATGTGGTATCCGAACCAGGGCCCTGCTGTTCAGAGCTACTGTCCCAAGCCAACTCTTAACCAACTCAGCCGGCCCCATTTACTATTTAAAAGAGGCACATACATTGATATCTCATTATTTTAATTTACATTTCCCTGACTACTAGAGAGAAGTAGCATCTTATGCTTCTGGTCATTATATGTTTCCTGCTTTTTTATAACCTTTAGATGTGAAAACCAATTCTATCTTTTGGGTATTTGTGATTTTGACTGCTAATGGCATGCTTTTTTTGTTGCTTTTCTGTGCTTTTATAGATACAGTCTATGAAAAAGAAGTTTTCTAACATTTTATGAGGCTTTAAGTGGAAGGAGGATATTAACATTTGCTCAGTCCTCCATCTTGCTACATTGCTTAAGGAATTATTCATTCTTGAAAAAAAATGTGTGTGTGTATGTGTGTGTGTGTGTGTACACACACACACACACACATACACACACACATTCATGTTATATTCTTGTCTTTAGTAAATATGTTGAAATGAAAAAATAATTTTTAGGGAGAAACTTTCAATATTGATTTCATTTTATGTTTCCATTCTATATGCGTCATTTTTGTCTTTTGAAATAGTCAGTTCATCTCTACTAAATTCTATTTATTTGTTGGATTAAGCTTCTTATTTACACTGTTATTTCTTCTGCTTAAAGAGTTTGTTAGGTGCTTAAGTTTGACCACATGGTTAAATAATAGTTGGTTTATTTTCGAGTTGGGAAACATATGATCCAGCATGCTCTTGTTTGTCTTCTTTGAATCACTGGTGTCTGGAAGGTTGAAAGGTAGGGGAAAAAAACAGCCTTTGCTTCTTCTAGACTGCTTATCTCCCTGGTTTCTGTAGTGGGAGAGATGAACTGCTTTCGATAATTCTGTGGATCACATGAATGGTTTAGGCTTTCTGTGAATTGGTTACTGACCTATCCATTTTCTTTTTTCTCCCTCCCTACTTTCGTTTTTGAGGAGTATTCTCCCCATTGCTGGCTAAATTATTCAAGTAGTAAGCATGCAGTTCTTAGTCCTTAAGAGTGCTGAGTAATCAGATATGGTCAATGAGTTGCTGAAGTGAATAATGTCTCTATAAGGCAGACATTAACTTTTGTGAAGGAATTTTTCAAAGGTAAGTAAACTTTCCGGACCTAATTATCTTTGAAATTCTATATCTTTAAAGTCCCTTTTTTTATTATCTTTGTGCCATGAACTGTAAAATATAATGTATTATTCTTCATTAAAACAAAGATTTCACTTAAAGCTTGTTGGCTAAGCAGTGCATCGTGAGTTGAAGGCTGAGCTGGACTTACCCCCTACCCCCTTTTTAAAATTTACTTATTCTATAAGAAGCTTGTATTTATTTACCTGGTAAGTTTAAAATATGTCTGTCACACTGCAAGAAGCAGCAGATTATTTGCTTGTTTATATAAATTTTTTTCCTATTAGATTGTAAAATCTTTCAAGATGGACCTGTTTAGTCTCTTTAACTCTCCACTGCATCTAATACAACATCTTGCACAGAGGTATCCATCAATGCTGACAGGATCAAATTGTTGATCACATAGTTGTAGAGTCCCTTCTTTTTAAAAGAGAAATGACTTGTGTAAGGACATTCAGCTGGCTCATGATAGGACGGTATATTTTAAGATTTCTAGAGTTCTTTTTGCTACATTTGTTGTTCTTTCTTCTTCCTCTGGAATGTTATTATATAATCTTTGAGGGAATGCTTACTTTTGGCATGTGTTGACATGCCTCTTTCTGGACCCAGAAAGTAGATACAGAATCTCCTAGTACATCTTGAGCAGCAGGTAAGCTATATAGTGCGAAGAAGGAAAACCTCAAAAAAGTTTCGACTGTATGAGGGAAGAACAGTTATCTTATAGGGTTCTCAAAATCTAAAAATGTTAAACATGGTTATTTTTTCCTTTTGCTGCTTACAACTACCCAAATGAGGAGAAACAACTTTATCAAGTAATGCGCATTTTAAAGAAAATAACACATTTGGGAAATTCAAAACATGATCAAATTTAGAGTAGCAGGTTATTCAAGTTATTTCTGCAACATGCTGTCTTTCCTTGTCTCTTTCATTTATGAGAGG